ATCATCCCCCTTGCGCGGAGTGAGGGTTCACCCCGCACAACATGATCTACTCAACCATCATTATGGTTACTGCCCAAAAAAAATAAACGGAGAAAAAAAAAAAGAACGGTAACCTGGTTGCCGAGTTCACGAAGTGAATTGGCTTGTTTGGGGGGGGGGCAGGATAAGCATCAGTGTAGAGGGCGTGGGTTATGTGCCTCAGGAGCAGGATAAACACAAGCGCGACGCTACAGCTCGAGTTGCGTGCAAGTTTTTCTCGATAGGCTGCGAAACTGCAAAACTCCGAGGGGGGACGGATTTCGAAACCGATAAACCAAGCAGGCAGAGGCGACGGCGGAGGCAAGGTGAGTAGGATTGTGGAGGCATATTCCACGTGATCAGCTTCAGCTAGTTCTCGTTAGCACACCAGGTCTCACCGCTCCAGGGCCACACTGCCACGACCAACAGGGAAAGCCAACACCTACGTGAAACTATGATAGGCTACAATACACCACACAAGTATATCCAACCAAAATTGAGCATGTGCCGCGCTCTACCACGAGCACGCCAGGCAAGCAAAACGAGTACGTGCAACTTGACGGCGTCAAGCCTTCAGCTACCAGCCTCAAACTCAGGAGCTTGTCCACTCAGCCGCCTCACTTGGGTGTTGGTGTTCCCCCACGCCACTAGCCCTTCCTCGTCCCTCGCAGCCGCGGCCAACCTCTCCTGGCTGGACGAGATGGCGTCAGGGAAGAGGTTTTCCCTCACGAAAACGTCTACGGTGGGGGTGGAAATCCTCCCGTTGTCCGACACCGCGCTCTCTACGGCCCAGCAGAGAGCCGCGATGGCTGCAGGCGACGCCTGCCGACGACGACGGTTCGGCACACCGGTGGAGGAGGGGGTGTACTCATGTTGCCGTAGTCTGTGTGTATCGCCGCAGTCGCCCGCATCTAATGAGCAATTTTCAGCACACCGTACATTTTCACTGCCGCCGAATATACGCATGCAATTGTTGAACCCTTTCGCCTGCAAGGATCACCGCCGCAGTCGCCAGCATGGAAGGATACGCAACACACGCGTTCGCCTGGAGGAGACCCAGTAGTAATATAGCACAAGAGAAGAGTCAGCGGCTACGACAACGACCACGGTCCTTGCCTGACTTCGATCACAGGACAAGCGGCAGCGCGGCAGCAACAGCTCTGTAACCTCTTCAACGGTGGGGAGGCTGGAACAAGACCCACCTAAGACCTACCCACGACAGCCTCCCGAAATTTCTTCTCTGGGACATGCTTCCACTGCTTGTGACACGCGTACCCCATCACACCTTCCCTCTTTTGCCAAAATACTCCCACCGTTGAACGTACCTGACCCCTGCACTCCCCCAGCCGGCCCGCAAACTCCTCTGCAGAGATATGGCCCTCAAGCCGAAACGCCACCAGTCGGGTTTCCACACAACCGGGGTCGCCGAGGCGATCGCTCAGGGAGCGCCGCGCCAGCAGTAAATCTTCCGGGCAACCCCGGGCGCAGCCGCCTAGCAAGAGAGCCGTGGGGATCTTGTGGTACACCTGCGGGAGTAACGGGCGAAAGTCGGAGTGAAGATACGGAAACACGATCCTCGCGGCCAGCAGGAGTGTTGTCGTTTGTTGTTGTTGTTGTTGTCGGTGGTGGCGAGATCACATACAATCAATATCTGTCCTGTACCACCTTTCAACACCCGTGCTTGTCCGACTGACGCGGACCCCTTCTGCGTCGAAGTCAAAACTTATTTTTAGGAAGCCGGGCACAACACACACAGCAGCATGCCGCGCAAGCACGACAAGACGATCTCTGTGGTATATATTTAGAGAGGGCAACGACACCTCGGCACGAAAAATGAGCACACATAGGAAGACATGCGCAATCATCGTTACACGTGTTTGTTTCTCACCGAAGGATGGTCATCGATTGTGACATCTGCAACGGATCGGACAGCAGCAGCAGCAGCAGCAGCAGCAGCAGCAGCAGTGCTACCACTGGTCATGCCGCCGCCGCCGCTGCTTCTGCGCTCCTCTCGAGCCGCCTCACTCTTCGCCGCCAGCGCCCTCAGCAGGCTAGTCTTCCCGGCGCACTGCGGACCGATCGTAACCAGCAACGCAGGCCGGCTTGCTGCCGCCTCCGGCCCCGCCACCGCGCCCATGCGCACAGCAGTGGGACCGCCGCGTACCATCATCCCCCACGAACCGTTCGGAGAACGCCAGTCGTCGCTGTTGCGGACACCATGAGAATGAGAGGCGGAGCCAGAGCTTGCCCCGTGGAAGCCGCTTCGCCAGCTGCTGCTGTGACGAGCAGACGCGGCGTCGTGGCCTCGGGAAGCCGTGGGTAGCTGCGACCATCGCTGCTGCGGCTGCTGCGACCACCCCTGCGGACGGTGCTGTTGCTGTTGCTGTTGAGCGGGCGGTCGGCGGCGCGTCACTGACGGCTGTTGCTGCTGCTGCAATGTGCTGCTGCTGCTGCTGCTGCTGCTCGCCAACCGCCACCCAGGAGAGGCAACGAACGCGGTAGTGGACGACATTGCTGCTGAGCCACGAAGAGGAGATCCGCCCCGGTTCCCGGTGCCAGTGGTCACTCCCCTACTGCTATAGTCACTAGTGCGGCGGTTTGTGCCTTCCACGCGGCGATACGGGAGGGGAGACGGTCGATTGAGAAAATCAGCGCCAATCGCGCTCGACGCTGCAGCAGCAGCAGCAGCAGCAGCAGCAGCAGCAGCAGCAGCAGAGTCCGAGTCTCCCCTACGCTCCTCCGTCCTTGCATATCCCTCGCCACCATGCTGGCGGTGGGTGTTGTGCATTGAGTCCTTGTTGTCGCCGAAAGCGGCAAGAGCAGCGGCACCTGCTACGAGGAACAAACACAGCGCACACAGGAGGCACTGAGGCTGGCTCCCGCGCGCTCTCGACGACCTGAAACACCGGCTGCGGCGCGAACTCCTTCGTGTCGTTGCTCCTCGCATTGCAGCAAGACCCCTTGTGAGAGCAGAGGAAACGAGGGGAGAGCGCGACAACGTATCGCGTGTTGTCTGCACATGTGTGATGTGTGTGCTGGTTTGAGTGCCTGACCAAGCTTGCTCGGGGGCACCGCGGAATGTTCAATCTCCGCCTTGTTTATGCACGCGGGTCCACGCGTCTCCGATAAGGTGCAAAAGAGCCGTCGATCTACCTTTCCACCCTCAGCCTGCTGCTGCTGCTGTGCACGCGCTCCGCGATCGTCGCGCCTCGCAGCGTTCCTCCCTCTCTCGGCGCGATGCCGATTGAGCGATGGGCCGTGGTCTCCCGGAATGGTGAAGCCGGCTGGTGCGGGCGTCGGAAGCACCAGGTGGTTTCGCACAGAGGTTCCCTGTTTCTCCTGGGTGGATTCACGTCTGGAGGGGTGCTGGGGACTGGTGGTGCCGGCCGTAACGCCAACCTCCATGATGTCTGGAAGTCGACTGAGGGAGCGGTGCGTGCCGTGTTTTGTGCGATACGCTCCCCGTCTTTCTTGCCGCTGGGTTGTTGTGTACATCACAAAGGCATTTAATTCTATGCTGCAACGGCGGTGTTCATAGTGCTCATGTGATGTACAGCAAGCAGCATCCTTCGGGTCCTTCTCCATTGATGTGTACATTGACAGGACAGGCAACACACCATGAAGGCACGTATGGACACAACAGGTGCCCGGCGATGGGTCACCATTTTTCGGACTGGGCATGGTCAGGAACGTTGAAAGTACTCGTGCACGAACCTTCGGACATACCAAAGCGCTGGTGGCTGTGTAACATCGACTCGAAAGCTCGGGGTCTGTCCGAGCGTGGTCGCATACATGTTCGGCGATCATTGTTGTTGTTATTATCTTCACATTAAAAACCGTTCCGATCCCTCTCTACCCAGTACCTTCGTATGTCCGTACTGATCAAACACTCGACGCTGTCGATTCCCGTGGTCGCAGGCTAACTTACCCTCAGAAGGTACACTTAAATAAACTGGCCCCGAGGGGTCCGCAAGTCAATAGAAATCAACGACAGATATTCTGGAGTCCTCCACTCCCTCTGCGCGCTATGCGAGGTATAACAACTGAGACCAGAGGAGTCACCATCACAGGCCGGAGAGAAAGAGGTACACCCCATTGGTTCAATCTTGGTACTTCACAACGCAAGCAGAGACAAGGCCATCTGGTACAGAAAAAGAGACGAAAATAAAAGGAAACAGTGAGGAAAGAGATATGAAATGAAAAGGAGCGAAGACAAAAAGGGACCAGGCCGAAAAGNCACAGAAAAGGAGAGAAAAAAAAAAAACAGAGAAAAAGAGAAGAAAATAAATAAACAGTAAAAGGAAAGAAAAAATGAAATGAAAAAGGGCGAGGACAGAAAGGGACCAGGCCGAAAATAACAAGAAATAAGAGACAGAAAAAGGCACACGGTGGAGAGACCACTAACGAATAAGCAAACACGCAAACATGGCCACCAACCAGCGATACATTGTTATGGTACGTCATCACTATTGGGGGGTTGGTGCAATGGTACAGCGTTGGGAGGGGGGGCGGGGGCGGGGCGTACTCTTATGTCTTGCATGCCGTACTTTAGCGGTTAGACCATTGACCACGCGTCCTCGAGAGGACGGAGCATTGTTCCCACAGGACCGATCACCGATGGTCAATCGTTCCTTCCCACTTTGCCAAAGGTGGCTCACTAGTCTGTCTATCCTAACGTTATCACTTCCCGCCATTTCAACCTACCTCCTATGCCCCACTACAGCTACCGTCCTTTCCTCTCTATTCCATGCCTCAACATCTCCCTGTACACCCCATCTATATTTCCCAGCTCAGTCACGTACACTTCCCTCTCTTTGTACAACGGACATTCCGCGACAACATGAACACGGTCTTCGCATTCGAAGCCGCAATCACATTTGAACTCGTCGTCTTCCTCGTCTACCGTCCTATGTCTTCGTCGACGTTCTCGAAGGCCTATGTCCCCGGTCCTGAATTTGACCTTAAGCTTTGTCCCTGCATCCATTGGTCCATGTAGGTAATCCTTGAGGCCTATTCCTTTGTTCAACATTCCGTACACTTCTAGACCCTCCTTATCCTTGGATTTGTTCCTTAGATTCTGTTCTTCTCTCTCGGCACAAGCAACAGATATCTTCTCCTTGAACCCCTGTAGACCCTCCGTTTCCAGCGTTTCATCTTCGTCGATGTCGAGCCCCTTCCATACGTCCTCTACAACCTTGACCCATTCCGTGGGTTGTCTACCCCTCTTTTTGTTTGCCCACTTCGCCTCCCATACAATTCTCGGCAACCTCTCCTCTCCCATCCCGCACATGCGATACTGCCAGGTCAGCTTCCTCGCGTCTCTTTCGGACCGTAGGGATTGGATCCCCAATTCTGCCCTCACGGCTGCATTACTTGT